ATTGTACAATGCACGATTATACTTTCAGTACGTTGAAGATTGGTACGCATTTTTGAAAACCATCATTTGCGTTTGGATGCAACTTGTCCTCATGATATGCCGGGTGCTTCTTCGATGGATGATGAAATGGTTATATCGAACGATCTTTAGTTCAAACTGTTCAGAAATTCCTTACATCTGCGTCGAATAATGGGGCATTTTAAAGTACTCCTACAGGGTTATTGAGGTGAACAGCAAAGATTGTATAAGCAAGTGGCAGAGTGCAATCCCCTATAGCAGCATGATCTTCATACTCTATCCATGTTCCTATTCAGTGATCTTCATTTTTCAGTGGTAGTTTAGAATTAAAGACCTAGCATTCAGTAATCCCTCCGTTAATATTTACGTGAAATACTGCAAAATTGTGCCTAAATATTACCGGTAAAAGCCAGTTTCATGCCGCTAGAACAGTTTATAGCGCCAGATTAAAGGATAAGATCCTGCACACGTGGCCATCATTAGCCACGGCAGTCTAAGAAAGCACATGACTAAAACAGTTTGACAATTTTCGCACTCAAGGTTGTCAAGTGCTAGGGAAGAAGACGTCAACATTTTCAAAGTACTCGAATTAATTAGTAGAATGTTAGATACTTACTAAAATAGATGCTAACCGAGAGCAAAGTAGGGTGACTTTTCTTTAAAAATGAAATTAAGTTCTATTTTTTTCATATGCACGTATTTTACCAAAAAACTCAATCATTTACTTACTCTACTACTAAATTGTGCTTAACTTATGTAGTTCACAGATCAAAGTATTTTTTTTGGAAGAATTTCCTACTTCAGCGGTTCCTTCATTTGAAGGAGAGATGTTGACATTTTTGCCCCACATAGCTACGATCAAATGACGAGAAAATGATAACAATGCCTATGTAAATGCTAACGGTAACCATGCTAATGTGGGCAGCTTTTAAGGGTTGTAAAGTACGAATTAACGGATTTTTGCAAAACTAATTTACTAGATATACCTTTCAGCTATACTAATAAACATTAGTGAATATTCTTTTTCAGCATGCTTTTCTTATTTATCTTAGTGAGTCACCTCAAATGGTTCCAACTGGTGGAACCAGAAACCTCCCAGTGATATTTTGCTAATTGACTAATAGTCTTAGTTACTGTAATACGTTAATTTTCGCCTCTGTTTCTAGGTGATAAACCTTAACAGATGGAAGAATAGGTGGTGATCCTCAGCAGAAGGTCCAAAGTGGCATCCATCCTCTCAGCTACTCCAGACTCGTGATCTACAGGAAAGATGTTAACAAGTGAAGAGACACTAGCCGTGAGTAATTCGAACAAGTTGGTTGCGGAATTGTCTACGACACCCATATGAAGATGTCAAATAGGTGAACACGCGGCACCGTCTCGATCTCCCTACTAGATGGGTGGAATCTGATATAGGTATGGGTGGGCAACACTCAAGGAAGAAATATAGGGGACAAGGAGGAATAGACGCGGAACTATGTCAAAATTTGCTTTTAGACTAAAGTTCCTACGACCGGTGATGACACGCTTGATAGCTAGCATATTCTTTCGTCCGCAACACAGTCCCCATGAAAGCCAAAAAGCCAGATTTAGTGGAGTTGCTAACAGGGGTCAGTGACGTTGCGACTAAGTAGCTTCTCAGTTGCACGGAAATTCGATGGCCGGGGTGGGTGGTTGACGAAGGGCAGCGCCGGAGTTGATGCTTAACAGAGAAGAGGGGATATGTAATACGTTTATAGTTTGTCTAATCTCAGTTTTTGTAACGGGTCACTTTGGGGCTCTGCCGCTGTACATCCTCCAAACGGCCTGGTCTCTGGGCCAGGCTAGTAGAGCCAATCTCCAGTATTATAACTTCTTTTATCTTCAAGAAAGTATCGGAGCACTACAATTCATCCAATTGCTTCAACTTATTCGCAAATTCCTCAAACACGTAGTTTGTAAATGCAATCAAGTTCGAAATTATTTGCCATTTGCATCCTTTTGGAAACCGCACTTCACAAACCAAATGCAATTTTTTTAGATATTTTGCAGTCAGAAATAAACCAATCACAAAGCTTGATCGGACAACTAATATACTAAACAAAATTCCATGGAACCCAAACCTTCGGTTGGTTTATGGCCAATCAAGCCACCTCTACACTAAAATTCAAACTTGATAACCGAGGATCCTTGATAATATTAACTTTGAGCCACTTTAATCACCATCGACAAGGTTAAGGCCTAGGATCTGAAGGCTAGCATCTCAGGTTTTCCTAAACGTGGTACACCCGACTTTTGGTGTTTTATCACAAGAATCCAATATTTCAAATTAGTTCAGAGCAGTATGTCCCGTTATACTATACTGTACTCAATCCAAATTATTCTTAAAAAGTTGGAGAATTAAGTTCCTCAGCTTTGGAGCTTACCTAAACACGCCTCGTAAAGTATACAAGCTCCAATTAAAACAGCCAGGTTTAGTCGACAATTTTATGGTATAAAGGACAAGAATAACATAATAAAATAATAAAGGTCAGGACAAATGGTATCATATCTACTGATTAACGTACATCTAGACTTCATAAGGTGTGCAAATAAACAAGGGCAAGGGAACCATCACTTAAACCACACAAACTCTAAGTCTCATGACAACTTATTGCACCATATATGTTTTAATAAAAATGCAAATAACTTTGAATTAAGTCAAACATCAAATCAAAGCAATCAATCTCAGGCACTTGTATGAGTGAAATAACAATGAGCGATTGGTCAAACCACGTATTCCCACCACTATCTACTAGGTGGGTTAAATCATTTTTCACTTCTCACATAAAAGGTGAAACATTACGAAAATTTTGTAAAGAACTCTCACACGTAGGTCATTTCCCAAACACGTTTCATTTCACATATACACAAGCATTATTGTAAGAGGAAACCATGGGCTTGCACAGAAAATCCCATTAACTACGAGTTGGCAATCCACACGGACCATGAACGTGCACACGTACACACACACACACAGTAATCGAGCATCACACGAGCTAACAACATGCTCGGTGAAGCACAAGTCTACTCAGGATCTTCCATATTCACCAATCCATTTTTCACCTTTGGTCATTCTCGAATAGAAAGCGGTTTTGACTATGGATTTGCACAAGCCGAGGTGAACGACAAGACTTGCTATTACCTGGTCTATCGTGCTCTTATCGAGGCTATGGATCGTCCTGCATCGCGATGTTTCGTGGAGATGGACGCGAGATCTGTGCGACTGGTGGAAAAACGATGGCCACACGAAGAAGTACACATCTTCACCAAAGATATAGTGAGTTACTACATGTTTGATCATGGATCCAAATTTGTTGCGTTGTGCATTGATGCAAAACGAAAGGAGAAGAGTGGCTACTGGTTCATCAATTTTGACACAGAAAAACAACTGACAACCTTCTGTGATTGTTTGCACCGTCTATTCGCCATGACGACGGAAAGGAGTGTGGATGATAGGAGCAGCACCATCAGGAGACGTGGAAGCTATCGAGATGGCAGTGATGCGGAAACAATACAAATTGTGAAATGTTGGTGCTGCGGTTCAAGGGTGATTTTACCGAAATGGGTAACGCTAACAGAAAGTAGAGACAGTGGATTTGATGAGAGCCAATACACTGGAAGCAGCCCTAGAAAGATGATACCAACGAATCAGCTACGCAGTTACTATCCCACAAAACGGAAATTTAGATATGCTTAAATAAAGTATCAGTGTCTTACTTACTTCTCAGTGCATTTTGAGGATGGAAGGGGTAACTGGACAAAGAAAGATCAGCTGTGAGTACCTCAATGAGGAAAAATTACATGCTTTTCAAATACTGTACATTTCAGTTTCATAGCAAAATTGGTGGATTTTGTTCAAATTTCTACTAGAAATAATTAAGTGTTTTGGATACAAGAAGGAGGTCTCACGCCAAAAATAGGATTTATGTACAAGTTCAATCAAATAATAGCTTCTGTGAATTTTAAACGTAGAAGTATTAAAATGCAAAATCCACTATACGAATCAAAAATATTACTGTAAAAGTGCCAAACTAATGAGTCCTTGTAGTTTATACCAGAAATATTGGAAAATCAAAATTGAAGAAGCCAGGTTTTAATACCAAAATGTGATAAAAATATTTTTTTTGTTAAAATAACAACCATTATAATAAACACTCCTTTGATACGAGAAAAGTTTGAGAATTGAATTTGGATTACCTCTAGGAACCAAGAAATCTCCATTTCTCAAAACTCCTTTCCATTTTGCGCGTGATCCAGTGACTGTCTATTATTGATGTCAGAAGAGGTCACGGGGAGGCGTACAAAGGATGAAGTGGGGCAGCATCTCCTACTCCATTCCGTTCCATCCTACAGTGCAAATCTTTTCACGAGTCAGGTGTACTACGACCTGAGAGGTCATTGAGTTGCCTTGTAAGGAGGAGACTAGCTGCTGACTAATTTGCTAATCTTCGATGCAACGATTTGTACTGAACAGGTGAATCTCAGCCGTGATTTTTTGTTTGGCTATCGACAAGGAATTTGTTGTGAACAACCCTCTCTACGATTCACTACCCCTTCGCACAAGTCAGGCATATTTGTTTTGGAGCTAAATTGGTGGATGGTGGTGTAAGGTAGTGGATGGATCATTGAGGGATATCCACAGCTGCTTTTCTTTATACAAAGGTGCAAAACGTACAAGAGCCATTATTAATAAATTAGTCAGCCATCAAGCAAACCTACCTTCAACGGCTCGACTTGAAACGTATGCAAGGGAACGACAGATTGATAGCCTTTCAAATCTATGGTCATTTGTTAATGTGATATGGAGGACTTATCCGCTTGGAAGCTCCCATTACGACTTTTCTACGAAGTACAAACAACCTGTTTCATCACTCGCAGTAAACAGTGCTGCCAATTCTTCTTGATACATTAATCTTCAACTGTTCAACTTAGCTATGATATGTACTTCCTCTTTGTTTCGAAGACCAGGTAGACCTCCCCGAAGCGGTGCAGCAGCACCTAGGGATCCATTACTGAAATCGCATTGATTCTTCCTTTTTCGAATAGCGCGTTCGGCTAATGGAACTTCACCAAGTGATGTGTCCATTTTAAGGGAACCCAGTAGAACTTTGGGTCCGAGCTAAACGCAACCGTAAAGCAGTTTCAAACAACACTTTATGATATGAAGGTTTGAAATAGAAAAGTGGCACATACCAGGTCAAAGAGGGAATAAGTCAAGAAGAACGATGCCGAACAAGAACAATAGAAGAAGAACGGAGAACGAAAGAAGAACAAGAACGATACCAACGATAATACTTTTTACACTGAAACTTACATGCCGTGATTTCAAACGCATAGCCCAAGAAATCGCATATTTCAAAATTGATGAATTTGTACTGAAACTTGACATACTAGTTACTTTTGGCAGCTGTAGCATAATGACAAGCTTTCGACACTTTCAAGGGAATGATATAGGGATGTAAGTAAGCAGAACAATCTGACAGTAACTCAAGTAAAAAAACTGTTTTATATTTTCAAACATTGACAACTCAATCTAAACCATAGGCTCTTTATAAATTCACACCTTCAGAATGACCTCTGTCGCTGTAAACCTCTTTATGTCGAAGCAAAGCACTATTCAATCTGACTAGGATCAAAAACATGGCCATTATTAAACTTTGTGCACCCTAGTTAGGATTGCCATTGGTAATAAAGACATGCGCATTTCAGAAAATTCATCAACTCTTGGGATCCCACACCTTAACTCCAGCACAACAATATTTAATACCAAATGGTCACCAAAAAATCACACAACAAAACACAATCACAGGCAATTCGTTTCTTGATCTAATTTTCATGTTTTCACATGTGGGGTTCGCAGTTGTGAGGCAAAAGGAGCTCACAATGAGATTAAGAAAGTAAGCCAGCCAAAAAAGCCCCAACAATCCACTCTATTTTTACACAATGTTACATAAAGTACACAGAGGTGGTTAAAGTTGCGTTCGATGACAGTGCTCGATCAGATAGGGGGCATCAAGTTCACCATCATGTTCGGCCCTCCATGGAACTCGCAAGAAGAGCGTTTGGCTGGAAGGTAAACGATAACACATAAAAGCTAAAATATGTCTACATATCACTTTTAAAAAGGTGATTTCCTCTACCCAATCCAAAAGGTCAACGAGAATGGTCATCTAAGTATGAGGTGCCGCATTCGCTGAAACGGCACGAGGGCTATCGTATGGGGGTAGTCAAGCCAGAGACAAGAACAGACTTTACCGTGGCGACACCGAATGCGGCAGTGGAACGTGGGCAAAGCTACAGATAACTGTTACACGTAATGCGAACCAATTCCTAAAGCGTTACTCAAGATGGCAGATAACAGTGGCAGCGTGAACATGCACCAGCGTTATGTAGTGAAATTTTCTGTGTACGAAGAGATAAAACCCGTAGATGTCTACAGAAGTCCACAAGCACAGTGCAATGACAGGGTGATCAGCTGCTCTACAGTAGAATCGTGAATAGCACATTGTAAACCCTCCAAAGACGTTGACCATACATCAGTAAATGACGATCTCGGCCGCAGTGGTGCCCGACCCATAGCTTCGGCTTCGACAAATCTTTCTGGATTAAATGTTACCAAGTATTGCGTAAGCGCTGGGACAAGCGCACAAATGTAAGACTGGTATTATCGGTTTGGGTTTAACTTCCCTTGTATATATATGATTATAACTTTTAAAGATATCATTACTTCCTGCCAACTTTGCAATGGAAACAAGGGCAGATAGCTTGGAAAGTCAAAAACGGAATTTTGACTAAGTAACGAAAAATTTAACTTCTCGCTAATATGATTGTTCATTATTACAAATGAGTAAGCCAAGCTAAGCCGAAAACTGGCTGTGGAGTGGAAGGTATCGGGTGAAGGACAAAAGCATTTCAAAGATTCTCATTCATATTGTTTTTACCTCCGAATAATTTGCGAAAAACTGTTCCGTGAAGCTAGAATGTGTGCCTAAATCGACCTAGCATTCAACCTTTTACTCTCCACGATTACCGACAGACTACATTGGATATCTCACATTTGATACCCCAGACATAAGGGATTCCTTCGCATGAGCTACTTGGTAGAAAGAATATAGTAGCGTGAGAAAGTGGGAATATTTTATGGAAGCAATCATTACGCCTACCTGAAAGGTAATTCAACACCAGGGGGTGCTGCGTAAACAGATTCGCAGGTTTGTTCGTTAAAGTAGTAGAGAAATCCAGTACCACGACTTCGACGCATGCTCCATGGACCTTTGGTGTAAATATAATACTAATTTGAGACAGTCGACTTCTAACTCGAGGCTTCATCACATTGAGTCAACTTCCATTTTATTAAAAGCAAAGATAGACAAAAGAGCCTATGGTGATTCTATGCAGAACTGACGGAGGATGAAACAGGAAGTAGCTAGAAACATTCACAAAGATACGACCAAAAGGCTTGACTGGCGACAGTTCGTCGATGGTTTGGCAGGCTCCATGCTCTGGAAAACAGTATTTTAATCACAAACTCTGCTAAATCACTAGTTTGGCCGGAAGTAGAATTCGATTCTTCCATCCACCTCAAACTACGCATTAATAAGTAGCATTATTAACCTAAACCGTTTGAATTCAAGTGAACAAAGTAAAGAAGCTAGGTGTATAACTGGATAGATGCTTTCCACCTTGACATGAATTTAAAGGGTGAGAACCAAAATAGAGGGTAGGTGTCAACTAACAACGATGAAGCCTTTGATCAGACAAACTGACTGGCTTGATCTACTACACTTAACTGCCTACTCCTATTTGAAAGCCGCGAATAAAGTCAACAATGGTAAGTAGATAAAAAAACCAATGTAGCACCACAGAAGTAAATTGACTTCAGTAATAACTCTAGTGACCATTAAATCTTCCACCATGCAAGCAGTGAACATCCAGAGGATGGCACTACCTTGTTGCACAACTTACTGGCCAAATGCTTGACGAGGAGGAGGCCTTTTGGTGCACAGGTGCACCCGTCAGTGGTTGCGACAAACATGGGAACTTTATTCGGTGCGTCCTTGCAAGGAAGAAGCGTCAACCTGAGATAAAACAACGAAAAGACGGAGACATTATAAAGGCCATCAATTTAATCATAGAAAAAGCCGGTTGAATAAAATAGCCTAAGGGAGGAGGGTATCTGCACTAAATTAGAGAACAATGAAGCCGTGAATCTCACCTAGAGTTGCGAGGGGAGAATCGCTCGAGATCGGGAAGAAAAAAATTATCACTTTGCAATTGGAATCGATATTTGCGAAGTTTGAAAGCTTTGATTTCAGTTTATAAGAAACATGTTTGCATTATTCTTTTGAACAGTGGAAAATTATGCAGAGTTCGTGGCAATTTTGAGAATCTCTGAGTATACGAAAGGAGAAAAATCCAGGTTTTTCAATCGCACTAGCTGCCGATAGAAGTAATTATGAGATTCTATCTTCTCCTTTCCTTTAAACCCGATAAAACTTTTTATAAATCAGGGAAGAGCCTCTAACCTCTACTGAGAATCTCCCGCGTAAAAAAATAATAAATTTGTTCAACAGTAAAATACATCAACGGGAATCGGAACGAGCAAGGATTATTTCCCAAAAGAGCTTCAAGGTAGGGTCACGTTATGGATAAGTAGACCAATGGAACCAACCAACCAGCCAGTCCGAAGGTTAACTTTCAGTGATGAAAAACACAATGTGTACCCTTACTGTTGCATAAAAGCTTGCATTTGGGGTAGAAGTAAGAGAGGCGGCGAAATTATCTTCACAGAATCATTTACGAAATCCACGGTATTGCAGAGGTCACGAATATGTCGCATTCTGAAAAAAAGAATTAGAAATGGAAGGGTAAGGTAACAAAAATTTTGTTGAGGATAGACACTGCGTAATCAGCATACCTTTCTCCGTAAGACAGAGACTGTATGTCAATGCCATAGATGAAAGCCGCGTCAAGCAACATTAGGGCATGTTTACGGAGTCTATCCTAAACAGCAAAAAGGCAAGAAAAGTTCAGAATTTGCTTATGAAATTATGTATTGTTCCTTACGGAGAAACATATGGGATAGAAAAACTATGCGTTTGCACATTGTGTAAGCAAGATTATAAATGAAAAATACAGGGGAATAGGTGTTGATGACGAGGGCCCAGACGAGACTCCCAGCGGGCAGACGGGGATGGATTTCCTCAGGCCATGAGATATCACTCCATTTTTTACCATCACAGCTGTACTTCAGATTTTCTTTGCCCTGCTGAGAAAAAAAAGACAGGATGAGGAGGAAAAACACAAAACTGACTCCGAAGAAAGGTCATGGAAATTGAAACTAACTGCAGAGCCTCCACCTAATGATATGACCATCACAGGCTGCTTGGGCAGATTACTGGAATTCAGAAGGAGTTCACTCAAAACCACAGCGTAAAGGGAGTGAGGAGAGAAGGAAGAGCGAGAAAGGTCGTCTTTGGTGAGTAGAGTTATATTCGTTGGACGACACAGATTCCTAGGCAGGTTGTTTAGCATTGTGCCCTTGGATGATTCCTGTAAAAGCATGACCATAGACCTATTACAGAACAGACGATTACCAAGAGCCAAAATCCGAATGAGAAAGCTAAAAACAATTTTTCCTGCAATATCACAAGGCGTCCAGCTTGTCTAGTAAATTGACCAGCAAAAATTAAGATGAAAAAATGACATGCCTACGGACTCATTACCAAAAGGGGCTAGAATGAATATGACAGCAAAAATACATACATTTTTAAACTTGGAATCAGGATAAATAATTAATTTAACTTGCATGTCAGCGACAGGAAATCAAAGCATTGTAGCACGATTACAAAAGAAAGGATTTTTACAGCTACAATAAGTACCTCTAACTATATTTTGTGTAATATCTTGTTAATTTATTAGAAAAGCTCACACGTATGATGCTCTTCAGGATTGGAGGAATGTTACTGGACCACAGGGGCCACGAGCAGGGTCCCCGAGCAACTTCAGGTATCTAAAAATGAGGAGTAAACAAGATACCTACTTAAGCTGTGATTTAGTAGACTATCGCAAACAGTGCCATTTGATCATTTTTAAATTTATACTTGAACTGAAAATATTATCGAAGTCTAGACTATAAGCAGTGATTGTTCGCCTCTGAGTGTATCATGTGACTCCTTCGATAAGGCGGCTATTCTCCTTGCTTAAAGCAAGTTATTACTCTGGAGCGAATCATCGGCTCAGTTTGGATACCAAGATGATCGTACGGATGGGACAAATGCAAAGCCCTTCAGACATCGAGCTGGTGAAGGAACCTCAAAACCGGTTCACAAAAGAAGAAAAGGCTACAGAAAAACTGAATGCGATTGATGGATCAGCTTACTATGCTCTGATCTATGATAGCCTTTAGTAGTTTGCCTAGGCAATTGTTGATAAGAAAGAAGACACTTATCTTCTGAAACTCTGAATGACTCTTCTTGAACTCAAACTGATTCACTGTGACCAATTTCATAGAGGCAGATCACAGTTCAGTCCCACTTGATTTTAATCATAAGGACATTCTAGAAAAAGGTATTTTCTTCAACAAACCGCCGTTACAATAAAAAAGACAGCACACCCACCTGCCACTTTTTCAAACAGGCAACCCTGAGATCATCTCGAGAATCATCCTCCTTTGCCCCATTGTCGGCGAAGATGATCATCTTGGAGAGGTAAAGACACTGATGAGATGCAAGCCTATATAGGAGGAAAAATAAAACCACTTATTCAAATGCTACTTATGAATAGCAATTTAGCAATGTAGCCATTCAAATCCAGCTAAGACGAATCACAAGCCTATGAGAGAAAGCGGTCGGTTTGCGAAAAAATTGAAGTATAGACGAGTCAACCAGGAATCTGTAGTCATGCTTGCATTTCGTCGTGGAAAGCCAAAGAATCAACGGAAGCTCACCTCCCATTTACTACTGGCACTTGGTAATGTCAAGGTAGCATCGCCTTGCACACTCAAACTTGATTTGAACAGTTTCCATACTAAACTTAGCTGACACAGCAAGAAAGGAAAGGAAGCACAACTGCACTCACTCCTCATTCACGCTGGTAATGAAATCAGCAAAGCCTTCGCTTGGACCAGTCTTCTCTTCATAGTGAGCCAAACGAAGGATATCAAAAAGTAGTGACGTCTCCTCTTCCCCCTTTTCGGCTTTTCGTCGTTTGTGTAGACCCTCACTGACCGCAAGAAGGTGCTTAATTAGCACCCCCACAGCCGACGCTGTGTCGACTTGGAGGGTACTACCACTAACATCACTATTACCACCGCTGCGCTTTACAGCGTTGGCACGTTGTGAGATAGACTTCTTGAAAGGAGCTTTGGAACACTGTGGCGCCGAATTGACGCTGCTACTGTTGGCAGTTGAGCAAGAGGGAGGGGCCTTGGGACATCCAGCCATTCCAGGATTGGAGGTGATGAGACCTTCACAAAGAAGGTATCTAGAAGGCAAGAGGGGATAAGAAGGGGAGTTTGGAAAGAGACGACTTACCGCTCTGAATTGGCCGGCCGACTGGAGATGGGTTTGATGAGTTTGATGCGCTTGAAGACATGACTCATAAGCCAGATCAGGTCCACACTGAAATCGGTGAAGATGTCGAACAACTTGGTGACAAAACAACCACCTAAAAGTGAGACAAGTAGAACGTGATGAGCTCAAAGGAGCTCGAAAAACCAACTTCTATACCTCAGCATCTTCGCTTTTAAAGCAGCACTACTTACTTCACATAAGCAACTCGAGATTTTCATCCCTCGCCATTGGGATGAGGGAAAGTTTTGAATTTCCCTCGTTACTTTGAGCATTCAAAATGGAGTTTGCGATTGCACTTTAATGCTGTTTAACACGGATTTTAACTATATCACTGCCTCATGAGAGCTGCCCCATAAAGTTAGCAATTTCGCATTTAGTTACATAGTTCAATTTAACTTATCCGTTCTAATCTTGGCTGTTCTTTTGCGGAATGAGATGCATTTGTGAAATAGTGAACTATGATGGGCAGGATTTTATACAATTTAATTCCCTTTCTAATTGGTCAATCAAAGAATGACAGCTTGTCAACATATTTTAAAGCCTAGTTCTTGTATTGGGAGATTGACATCAAAAAATCGAGCAACTTTTGCAGTGAGTCTTACTTGCTGTCTCTAACTTTCGTTATTTTTTAATCTTCGAGAAAGGCTTCAATTTTAGGAAATGAAAACAATCTGATTTTAAGAACAAATGGTTACGCAATATTTAAGAGAGATGCTATCCCAAATTTACCTGCTTCTTTTTTAACAGCCGATCATCGACGAAAACAAATTATGAAATAATACCAGATTGTCAAGGAAGGTCTGAAATCGAGAAATTAATCAGTTCTGAGAAGAAAATTGATTTAACTTCACTTTCAGCTTCCAAACACTCCTGAACCTAAATGTACTTCATAAGTTTCATCGCTGCCTACTTTGACAACGCCTACCTTTAAAGTGCGTCAAAAAAAACAAAAAGTAGTAGAGGGCACAAAAGTTCAAGAATTGTGCAAAAAATGAAAAGGAGAATGTTAAAGAGGAAAATAGGGGTTAAACCCACCGGGTCGCAAAAGGGTTAGGGCGCAGAGACATTGGCAAAGGTAGATGTGTTTGGATTTCACCTCTTGTAGGTTATAGGCATCGGAAACGTCAAAGCCCTAAAAACCCAGAATAAGAAAAACATCTCAAAAATCTTGGTGTTTTACTAATCATTAAAAATGTTAGGCAAATTTAATCGGTTGTCCCTCAGAGGTAGAAAGTGCACTTTTTCACTATCTTTTTAGTTAGCTAGACAAAAATCATAGATAAGTGGAAGGCATTACAACATTACCTCAATGAATAGCCTTAGGAACTATTATTAACCAGACGACTTTAAAGTGGACCACGATTCAGTCCATCGCGTAAACAATTTGGGATGAGGGCAAGGTATTTGAATTTGTCATCACTATTCGAGGGAACAGTTGACTATCACAACGCCGATGTTTTATTGTTCTAACATAACAATTTTTAATTAATTTTAGTCGGAGGCGACAGTCATCTAACGAAAATTATTCCATATCTACTGTAAAATAAACTAGTTTGCGACACAGCTTGGTGCAACCATAGCTATCATGGGCGGACAGAAAATACACGCCACGATACTCGTGACGTGATATTCAGATAGGAAAATCGGGAGGTCAAATAACTTTGTCAAAGGGTGCTCAAAAAAAGTAACCTGCCCCATCAGCCATGACCACATGGACACCCTTGTCACCGGTGTTGTGAGCAACAAACTGGGCAAAGGAAGCCAAGTTTTCCCACTTCGTGATATCGCCATCTTTAGCGGACCCATAGAAGGGATGGAAGGTCTCAGCGGGACCTGCGACAAATTTCTCCATTTTGAAGTCACAGGGACCAGTGAGAGTCATGCCGTAGCCGCGGATGTGTGGAAAGTGATGCGTCGGTGAGGTGGAGTTAAAGGGGTGGCCACGACGCCACGTCAGGTACTCTGAAAATCCACCAGGACCCGCACAGATATCGGCGAAGTGGAGAATCTCCTATGAGGGGAGAAAAAATATCTCTCAAAAAGGTACAAGACGGTGCTGTTGATAGATTAACGATGCGATAATTTGTTGATTCAACTATGTAAATCACTTCAGTCGCTGCTGATAGCATGTCACCCAGGCTACTAGCCTCCCAACCCTTCCGTGCGTTTGCAGCAAACTTAAACTGGCATAACTTTTTGTCCCCAAATATCACTCGAGTGTTGTGGAATCTCCAGTTTTTCGTGAGCATTGGCTACCCACTGCACACAAGGTACTTAAAAATATTCCTTAATTAATTTACTTCAGATTTCTTGTGTATAATTTGATTTAAGTGGATCCACTTTCACTGAAGTCGGTTAGGCGGCCTCAACAACTCCAGTGATCCCCCTCAGAGTTTGCCACCAGGGCAATGTCAGAGCGCATTGAAATCTACAGCGAGATGGGATTGGAGATAGTACAATGATGTACTGCAACAACTAGAATTCTTCCAGATCCAAAGACGAGACACCTCGTGAACGAGCGCATTTCGCATTTCCTCATAATAAAAACGTCATTGAAAAGAGAAAGATAAGGTTTTTCAAGACCTCCTCCTGATTGCACCCCTTCCTGTCACCTCATAGCCATCTTAGTAGAGAATGGTAAGATTTCCGTACTTTCAGTCAATTTTCCACCTTTTTGACATCAATAATGTGAGTTGCCCTTACGTAAGAGATTTTAAATAATTCCATCCTCACATTGCTTCATTGCTGAAGGTGACACGGAAATTGAGCTTAGAACAATCAACAGGGTTACCGAATAAGTTTATGCAGTTCTACATGTTAAAAATTATAGAACTACGAAGAAAGTTCTTGACACAACGTGTTTGATGAAACAAACCCTACCACAATCTGTCAGCCTTTCTCAACGCGACAAGCTCGAAAGTTCCACCATTACAACCGGTTTCGTCTCTAAAATCTGAGAAAAAGCCCATTACCAGCTCCCCCCTGTTTATGTTCCACTTTTATTTCTCAACTATCCATTTTATTTCACAGCGCCGGAAAAAGGTGATAAGCGCAATTTGGAGAAACAATTTCAAAGGAATACAAAGGATAAGGCGGTATCTCCCATCACATCCAAAAGGGCAAACCTTCTTACGAATACTTTTTACGGGAGCAAGAAGTTGCAAGTTGTCGGATTGGTTGATTCTGACTTTTATTGAAATGGCCTTTTCCGCACACCTTCGAACACCGAATTTTGTCGATTGACCACAGTCATAACTACTTTCCGGCCTTCAGAAAGTAAACAATAGTATCTACCACCAAACAGACAGCCGTCAGTGCTTTGGGGGTGAAGTGGTAAATTCTCAGGTATGGAATGCTGATGAATGGGTCAGTTGGAGACAAATGATGACATTTTCGACCCTTTTTCAATGTAAGGCGTAAAAAGTTCACAACGCAGGTCAGTCAGTTAATAAACATACGTTAAAGAAGTAGAGTACGAGTTGCTAGTCTTTCAAGCTCATTGTCATCTGCTTAGGGGCTTCCACCACAACTTTACTTCCTCGTTGATGGAGGCATAAACGACTACTTTCATTGCTTGCATTAGCTACTTAGGTTAGTTTCGATACGAAATTCTTCACTGTTACAAGAATAGGTACAGTTCCCCAACGCAATGCAGCGGCATCCAGTATTTCATTATTAGAATTGCATTCTTCCATCCATCTCCGAACAGCACCTTCTGCCAATGGACCTTCATCAGGTGATGCATCCATTTCAGATGAAGCAAACGGGACTTTGGATTCGAGTTGAATGCGCACCATAAAGCAAGTTCAAACAACACCAATGATATGGAGGTTCCGAATCGAAAGTGGGAGGGTGGAACAGAACAGGGTAAGCATGCACATAAACAAGGACAGGTATTTGCAAACCTCCATGAGCTAGAGAAAGTCATTGCAAAGGGCCACACCGAAAGCAGCGAGAACTTTCCGGTTACCCGATATTAAAAAGACTGCGATGCTACAATAGTCCTGGTTATTATTCTGCACTGATCCTCCCAATCGCTGTTACTTCGCATAGAAACTGGCTGGTTTATTTAAACACAAGACTTCTTAAAGTCATCAACAGAAGTCACCATATTTGTAGCAAGCAGGAAAAGAATGCAGAACGCATGTCGTGCTGCTGGAACCAGTACACAGAGATCGAGGGACTAGTGGCGCAGGGGAGGTAAGCATAGCTCCTAGAGCCGTTCTGAAGACCGAATCGCGAGAGATCCGGATAGTATTTTCCAACTAATGTTAAATTTATAGCTGCTACGCAGCCCCCATCACGTTTTAGATTCAGACTCCGTAAATAGCACAAGGCCAGTCTAAAGGCTAAAAATAACGTCACAAGAACGTTAAATGAGTCAAGCTACTGAAAATGTGGTCTTGATAGCCTTGGATTACAAGTTTTCAGATAATACGATCATATTAAATTATAAATTATCACAAAAAACATTGGTGGATGGCAAAGAAAAGAGCAAGGAAATAGTAAGTATACCTTCCAGTCAAAAACCCGATCATTCATCCTGAAATGGAACATGGTCTGTGTAATTTTCTTTCCCTTCTTGCTACTTCAAAGTTGTTATTCCCCTCACCGAGAAATCGAAGCAACGATAAGAGCGGTGGATCTTAATGGACAAACTTACATTAGGAGGAGCCGCCTGGGAGAAGAGTCCATTGAAAAGAGCATCCATGTTAGCCATTTTCATCGCGGCTCTAGATTGAAGTGGCAGAGAATGCTTAAGATATAAACGAGAAGATTTGTTGGTCATGACAGGCGGTTTTACGTCTTGAAATAGGTAATTTTTCCCCATTATCAGTTCGTATCAAGTTGCGTTTTCACTACTTCAGAGAAATAGTATTGAACTTTGACATGGCTACTGATCAAGTAAAGTTGAGCTGGAACAGAAAGGCAAAAAATTTGACAGCTTTGGTAGATGGATTCCGATTGCACATGAACAGACCTAGCAAGTATTAGGGCATGGATCAACCTCTATTGCAAGAAATACAAAGAACTCTCCACAAAATGAACAAAGTATTACCGCAATGTTAGGATGATGGTAGGCCTAGTACATTAATACTCGAATAACCCATTAACAACACTAAATTATTTCCGAACTGCGCTTCACATATACGAGGATTATCGAGGTCAAATGGAAATTTTTGGCTTTACATATGCAAAAGGGGCTGCTACTGTGACGAGTGTGCCTAAAGGCCAAATAACAACCAGTGCGTATGTCGTGGGGCAGCCCACTTCACAATTATTCGTGAACACCTACAATTTCCAAGAGTTTGGCAACCATGTTGATAAACCCTCACCTGCCGACGTTGTTCAGATAACAGTCAGACACTGGGATAAATGGCAAAGTGCAGTCGGGAGTAAAGTTGATAGTAAAAGCATTTTACATGTCTTGAATTTTGTTCTCCTCTTTTAATAAACACAAAAGGTCGGCTGTGTCGTTTGATGAACTATTAATTTAGGGTACTGGCAGGGTGGCATAAGCAGTCAAGATGAACCAGCAGCTCACCTGTTCATGAATATACCACTACGCACATTCTCATAGGGGTTGGAACGAATACGAGCACTGGTGATGGCATCACGACCCCGTTTATCCAGAGAGTTCTAAAACCGATTTACATAATAAAGTTGCAATCCCAAACCACGCGTACACTGGACCAGGACCGACTCGTTGACCGGTCAGCCAACCAACCAACCTTATAGAACAGCATTTCAATGAGCAACTCCTCCGAGCAATACCGCGTCTGCGTGTCCATCCTTTCAATAGGCGGACCGAGCGCCTGTGGAGAATCGGGCTGTAGAAGGACGGTTTGGAGGGCCTTCAACGCCGCTGCGGGCAGCTCTGCGGCGTCACTGAAGTTGGACCATCGGGACCACGGATAGACGCGATCATCGTCAGCCGACGGAGGGGGTATCTCAGGGTCCTCCGACCAGGCGTGCGGACCCATGGGCACTTCGGACACCTCAAGTACTCGGAAGCAGAGTGATGGGGTTGCAGCTTCCGCAGCCGAGCTAGCCACCCCCAGACCTTGTCGTTTTTTTGGCACTTTCGCCTGCACGGGTTGGGTACGACCTTGACCTTGAGCACCCAAACCTTTGCCCTCTATCCAACCCATCCTTTTCTGCAAACAAAAAAACGGAATGCTTCCGATGTAAGAAATAGGAGGACGCGATCATATTTAGTTTACGAGATAGGGACATGCATTAATAATAATAATGGAGGTAATTGGTGAACCACTCGTCACTCTCCCCACCTTAGGTGGGGATACCCCACATTGCAGTCGTAAGAGAAAAAACAGAAATTGGAAAATTAATGCATTCGATATTTTGCTTCCTGTTCCCCATACTGTAGGCAGAAAACCGGGGACATTTAAATTCCGTTTACTTGAAGTATTTTAATGGGCATTGATAATTCACAATACACTCAGAGTCAAGGACAGTTCCGCTTGGCTTGTTTAAAGGGGGTTATTTTAACAAATGAAGTTAAGCAGTGAATATGTAAAAAAGATTCCAATGGAAAACTGCTTCAGGAAACCAAAAATGCAAGATAGGCACACCGAAATGCGGTCAAGAAAACACTGTGACCAGCTCATCAACAGCAACAGTTTAGGTAAGAACAAACAAGTTAAAAGAATCACTTACCATCAAATCCCATCCCTTGGATCCTAGATGGTAGTCATCTGCCTACAGAAAAAAAGGATGAAATTCAACGTAAGGTTAATACTTAATAACAATTTTCCGACACTGCATGAGGTCATTCCATAACTAATTTTTGTAAGCAAGGTAGAAATGCTGAAATGCCACAAATAACACCGGCATCTTCTCCAGTTGGCCAGTACAGATTTTAACAATAATGTAGGTTATCTTCGATAGTATTGCGATAACAGTAACGCCCTCCTCGAGAGTTCAAGAGGACTGAGAATGAAATGAAAATGAACCGTGAGACGATCACTTCATTTTGGCGACGAAACGACAGACATTGTTTTACTCTGTCCTGCAAAGCACTTTGTTGATAAGTCCCCAAGTAATGATTGCAATTTTTTCCAGGCATTAGGCAAATATATATGAAATAGAATAGGCAATTGGTAAGTAAAAGCGAGATGGGAATGGAGATGGCCGGGGCTGGAGTTATGTTGTCGGTCCCAAAAAGGTAGGATTCGCGGCAAGCTTGTATATTTGGGGAAGAAATCCTAGATTTCAATTTCTATTACGTTGACGTATATCTTTACTAATAAGGGCCCCTTAAACATACCTGACCATCGTATAGTAAAAATTCAACTGCCAATTTGTATAGGAGTAAGATTTAACATGTAAATCCTGCCAAAACTTATTAATAGCCGTGCCTCTACCAAATATCATTCACAAATTTCGGCAATGATACTTTAAGGTCAATGTTAATCAAATGTACAAATACCAGCATGGCCAGATAGTATTTTAACAGAAAAAAAGAAATACCAGCTTCCCCATGAGATCTACCAACTTAAAACCGTGACCAAACTTAATAACAGAAGAAGCAGAATTTAACGGCAATCTCGCAGCAGCATTGAACATTGTTCAAGTGGGAAAATAACAGCCGCATTAACAACCTACGAGAAAGGAAAATACATTCAAAGCGTTTTATACGATTTCGATAACTCTAATCACGTTACAGTAAAATTTTCAGCCAGTATTCGACAGTTTCAATACCAAAAAACTTAGGAAATAATTTGCACTGAGAAATGTCAACACAATTAACAGGTGGATTTAAAATACCTTCCTTTTTCGTGTGGACAAAAGATGCTCTGAGTCCATTTCACCACTACAAAAAGATGCAAACGACGAATGAGCTTTAAACTTGCCACTCAAATCACACACACGAGATAAAAAGAACAAGATTCTGAGACCAGAAGTACAAATTTTATTTATTTCAATTTCTCCGGCGGCAATACTGCCACAATCGGGATCTTAAAAGGTGTCTGACAAGTGGAGCAGATCGGTGTGAAGGCGCAAAAAATGGAGAGACAGACTGAGCAGACGTAGGACAAATCTACCATCTTCCGATGACAGAAACATGCCGATCGAAAATCCACTCCCGTGGCTGCACCCCCGCCACAGTCAGGTAGAATTAATTGTGAGCGGAGACCAGCGCGAGGCAAGAAGACGGAAAGGAGGTATTGCAAAAGACCCGCGGGTCGAGGAATCCGCAAATAGATACCTCCAGTGAGGTCGGCAGCCTGTTGGAAAAGGCTGGAGTTGCTGGACTCCTGAAGAGTTGTGGAGGACTGACGCAGAGGATCGTCGGCACTGTAAGACATCCGGGTGGGTGGAATGATGCATGCATCTATGAGGACGCCTAGCTTTTGAGCGGTGAACACGGCGTTCATGAGGCTAAGGTACTGCGCCGAATTGTCCTCTGCTGCTCGCACAACGAGAATACGAGCGTGGAAGTTGTCAGTTAGGAGACTACTTATGTCCTCCACAGCAACGATTGCATTAGTGTTGGAAGATGCTGGGTCATTTTGAAGGGAAAGAGTGGGACGCAGCTCACGGCAACGACGGATATAGTAGCAGAGAGCATTATTGATAGCGCTGGCGAAGGAAACAGTGCAGGCCAGAGACTCGCACGAAGTTATGAGTCTTTGAACCTTCCGTCTGACTGTCTCGCCAAGAATCGTAAAGGCTTCATACTGACCATAGTAACAGGATTGTAGCTCAAGATCTTCCAGTGGGGTTAAGGAGGGCCATAAAAATTCTGTCTGCTCAGGAGTGACTCCTATGATGGCCACTTCGTTGAGGGGCGAAAGCGTGAGGTGACAGTTGACAAAAGCGAGAATACATTCAATGAAGGAAGGGAAAATGAGGTTTTCATGGGCGTATGTGCCCCACCATACAGGAGTCAGGTCGATAAGGACCATGAGAAGCTCGCGATTTTCGTCCCCTTGAACCATGACTAAGCAGCGAAATCAAGTGTTAACTGTATCAGAATGGATTCAAAATCCTCCAGTCTTGCTTCCTTTCGACCAGACTTTTTGGCTAAGGCGACTATCCTTTCGAAAGCTTCTGAAGGGAAAATAGTAGCTATAATTATCAACCAACCGTTAATGTATAGTTGCAGCAACTCAACACTTAGGTGGGTGGCTTTCTTTGAGACTAGAGACAAGTTAGGCCAAATTCAAAACAAACATTTTGTCTTTTGTTCAACAAGTAGACTTCGGAGTAAAGCAGGCGAAATTTTGTCCTGAAAGCGAGGATATTCTGATTAAACGGGTTTGGGAGAAAAGGGTTGCTAAATTAATGATAGAAAGCAGCAAGAGTATGTTCACTATCATCTAAAAAGCACACAAATCCCACGCAAGGCTTTACTTGGTTTTAATCTGCCTGTAGTTACTCATCAAAATAGGGGCCAAATCCCAACACACTAACCATATGGAACTTTCCAACAGCTAAATGGCTACAAACCGACCGGACTTGTTGATGATAGGGCGCATAAGACGCTAAAAGACCTTGGCCCAATTATGTCGTCTTTCTAGAATTTCAGCCTTCTAATAACATTAACAGGATTTTGAGAAATTTAAATCTATATTGTAAAAATTACAGACTTACACCTTAGTGCTTACTTGGTTCACCTAGGTCTTCACAAGTATTTAACTAAGTGATAAAAGACCCTTTAGTTAATTATATGGCCACTGACTGAGTTATCTCAAGTTTGCAAGTCCTATAAGATTTCCGGAACATAATTACCTAACTTAGTTTGTATGTCACATAAGACTCTTTTCAAGTAACTCAACGGTATGGAGTGTTTCATATACAGTCTGAGAATAGCTTTGGTAAACTTTCGCCTAATCCTTTTGATGATTCGATCTCGCCCTATGTAAGGGAGTCAACAGTGGTGCAGCAACTTTCTTTGTAGTCTTTAGTTAACTATCCAATATTCCAACTGTAGCTCCAGCAAATAAGACTAAAGATATAGTCCCTGAGGTGCAATTATGCTGTCCCGTAATATTTAATTCTCACATTCAGTTTTATTGTGCCAAAACATCAACAAAAGGTCAAAAACTGAGGAATTTCCCACTTAGAAATCCAAACAACCAACTTTTGTCTGAATAAGTATAGGATGGGAACCTTAAATGGCAGTGCTTAAACAAAGACAAACAGCCGTGTTGCCATATTAACATTTCTCGAAACAAAATGAACTAAGATTCTAAAAGCACTCCTTTAAAACTACTAAAAATTCTTTAATATCAGTAGTGGATAGCGACCTGGATGTGGAATGCGACATAAGGTTATTACTAAAAAATTCTTTTTCTAAAGCATCGGCTCCTTTAGCAATTGCTTCCAAAAACTCCATAGCTAATTGCGTTAAAGGGTAGTGCATTACTAAAGACTAGACAGGGTCAAAGTCTACCTGACTTTTGAGTCACCCTGAATACAAAGGCCGCCGGTGGCACGTCAAATGAAACACAGCTCCCCACCTCTTAGTGGCTGCAATTAGCAATGCTACCACTACATACCCGTCAACGTCTACAAGCCTTCACACACGTCACCAAGCAAAAGCCGCATGAACGCAACCCCCGCAGTTGACCCCCAGTGTGAATGGCACAGTCGTTGCGCCGACCCAAATAACCACCCCACTGCTAGTTACGTCTGTCACCTGCATCATTAAAAATGAGAATAAGTCTTGCACAAGAATTTCTAAAAGCGAAACCTTAAAAAGTTTTAACAAAAACTGACCGTTCACAAAGTGGAACGTATGCCGACTTTCGGCAATCGAGTAATAGGAGGAAAAGTCCGACCGATTAGTACATGACACTCCGAGAGTCTCATAAAAGTACAAAAATGACTTCAAACCAAGAAGGGATGAAAAGCGAGAAGCCAAAGAGGGAGAGAGGTGAATCACAGACGGTTAAAAAATTTGGCCCTAGCACCGAAGCTTTTGCCAGATTGCATACAAGCCTTTCGTGAGGACGTGGTACGTGAAGAGTTCGGCAGTTCCGATCCCTCAGATGTCTGCGCTGGTGCTAACGGCGATTGGGCGGGCTCGTTTGCCTTCTTTGACTCTTCATCGTCAATGGGCTGTGAAGCGACAACTGGAGTGGGTTCCGATGACTCGGCTGCCTCCACCTAGGAATGGGATAGTCAATTAAGCGGTGATGCAATTTGCAGAACAATTACCCAACTTCTCCAAAAGCGCATATTTAATTATGCAAACCTTTCCAGTCTCCCACGATGGTAGCATGGAGCTTTCCCCATCCCACCACGCTACTGATTTCTCAGGCCGTCAATACATTTACTTCCAGAATGCTAGCCACGAGCTCCACTACAGCCGGAAATTATAATGCCAAAAGGGCGCAAATCAACACTTTCATGACCTGGTTTCAAAGATGGCACCGAGCTATTCTTTTCGGTAGTGATCAAGGGCCTGCCAGACAAATGGAAATTAAGTGGCCACTTGTTTGGCGTAATTACTAAGTAAACACGCGAGCGCATCCGAATTACCAACAAAGTAAATAAAAGACAATGAATTCCAATGCTTCGACTGGTCATCAAACGAAGGAGCAAGGCCACTGTCAATAAAACTGACGGGGTTTCAAATACACCTGGTTACACCCACACGCAAACATTCACTTGCGACTTATCGGGGTCAGATTCAGAGAAGAGTCACACAAGATGAATGCAAGACGAGATGTGGACAGACAAAAGACGATAGCCACGTTCCATTTAATTTGAATTTTTAATAAGGCCTAAACAAGTTAAGGGTGGATGCACCAACTTTTGTTTGGCGTTGTATGATATGAAAACGTGGGATTAACTGAAGTGACAAGAACAAGATGCAAACGGCGCAAACAAATCCCTGATGACAAAGTCCACGGAAAGGCAAAGTTCAACAGTTTTTGAAACTTAGTGAGGACTTTAAACTTCATAAGGGTTGGAGAAAAAACGAAATTGTGCACATTTTGGAAATAGTGGAGAAACACAAACAAGCTGTAACACGAATAAAACTTTATAGCAAAATAAATAAAAACTTTTAGCAGGAAAATTGTGAAAGGCAATAATGATGGATTATTGCATAAAAGTGCGGGTAATAATAGTTGTGAAACTTTAGACGCGACAGTAAATGGGTGACATACCTTAGTGCAGTTGACGTGAGACCCATCTACATGAAAAAGGCAAAAAGGGGTGAGCTTTCATGCAAAAGTGATCACATAAAAGCGATTACGATTTCTTGGAGTATAAATCAAGCAAATTGGCACCGGTGAATATTTTGAATAGTGGACAGTCAGACAATTGTGCGATATTTAAGGTAAAAATACAAGCCTCAAGAAGTGAGCTCGATACAGGACAAATTGGCAATTTTTGGAAAATGCATTTACCGATCGAGTTGTCTTCATGATTGGAGTTTTCAGTCCAAGTACATATTCTCCGAACTTCAGGCATCCCACTGTTAACAATAACTGAGAGCCCATCATAGTGTCTTCTAGCCTCCGAATCCAAAACAAGGAGAGAAACCTCATCGCCTCCCTTCTTTATCAACTCTACGACTTCTGGATGTGAATATGATACTAAAAATAATCGAAAAACGAGACAAGCGTGATTCGAATAATCAAAATGCAGGAAAATGCGCCTAAAAATTGAGCAAACTACCTGAAGGACAAAAAATCCTAAAAAACCAGGTTGAGCATTATTTTACAATGTCAACAAATAAGGCCATTTCGAAATGAACAACTAGGAAGCAACTGAAGGAGCGCTTGTGTGTAGGGCAAGCAAAGAGAGTTCTGACAATTTACCAACTACTTACGTATATTTTCACCGTTTACTTCAACGACGAAGTCGCCGCTTTTTAAACCAGCTCTATCAGCCAACGAACCCTCTTTTACTTCGTCAATGTATTGTCCGGTTTGATTTTTTGTGGCAATAAGGGAAAACCCGTAACCCTCAGTTTTGTCTTCAAGCCGCATGCAGCAGTACCTGGGAACAGCCATGACGACCGTCAAGTTTCCAAGTGAGGAAAGAGTGAATTACGAGGTCGACAAAGACGCTCCAAAAGTCAAACGAATGCTCGACTTCTTTCAAATGAACCATTAAAACGAAGCCTGTAGACGAAAATAACAACAACCGCACCACGAAACTCATGCAAAAGTATTAAAAGGCCTCTGATTTGCAATAAAAATAATGGGAAAAAATGCTAAAATTAGTTTCCTAAACAGGGATGCATGTTACAGCATTGCTCAAAATCAACTTTGATCCACTTTGTCATTGTTAGAGGAAATTTCTGTTTGTATTTGCTGGCTTGTAGCTTTATTTGCAACTCCTCACTACCTCTTTTGGTCGAAATTTAACAACAGCTGTCCTCTACGATTTTGTCCCAATGAAAGGAATTTATTTAACCTCCCTGTAACACTTATGATGTTACAATGTGTTTTTTAGAGAAAAGGTAAGGAATCAAACTGAACCTACTGGTTGGGGAGTGACCGACATTTCCCAAAACCGATAATGTTTCACGTATCCAGATCCGCCTACACTAGCGTCCTGAGAGTCCCTAAAGATGAAAGAAGACAAAATGCTCGGGCAGAATATATATTTAGCTCAGAGAAGGTGTCTGGGCTATTGGCATGGCCCGAAAGGCCAGCCCACCCAACAAGGTACAAGAGGGCTAAATCAAAGTACAATGTTGGCGCCTCACCAATACCGAGGGGTAAACCACTATCGCGTTACAATAGCTCTTTTGGATAAGGGCAAACAGATAGATTTAACTTCGTTACTGAGGAGCACTTAACATCTCGCAAGCCAGAGATATACCCTGCGTCCGACTTTTCCCAAATTTGTGCCCATCACTTATTTGCTCCAAGAAATAAGCATGTCAAAATCAAACCAGCATAGGTGTCGTAGAGGTACAAAGGCCAAGCAATAGGAGACCAATGCGCCCCGCCGTACTCTAGTTGTAATACGATAGTGGTTTATCCCTCGGTTCTGGTGAGGCGCCACTTTTGTACTTTGAATTAGCCCTCTTGTACCTCTGGGTGGGCTGGCCTTTTGGGCCATGCCAATAGCCCGGACACCTTCTCCGTGCTGAATATATATATCCTGCCCGAGTATTATGTCTTCTTTGGTCTTCAGGGAGTCTTGGGACGCTACACTAGTACCTATGCCCCATTGACGCTAAGCAGTAAATATGTACAAACCCAATCAGTCTCGTCGTTCAAAATGTGTGAAGGCCAGGGAAGTAGAGGCAAGCGAGGGTCGTGCTACACTTGCATTTAAAAAATGTGTTAGTTTGTTTTTGATGGATCACTTATTCGCAGTTAGATTAACAATCCTATTAATATTCTACGCTGAACTCTTTTTATTTATTTCATCCTTTAAAATTTATTTTTAATAATTATTGTAAATATATGCTTTACAAACTCTAATTTGCTCAAATCCCAACTATGGTGGTGATAATTTGGCTAAGTTAATTCCAATGTTGCTTTTGTGTCAGGTTGTTTTTATCTGCGTGGTTTAAGGCCGTTGTTGGACTGGGGTTCGAGGCCTTATGAATCTGACAGGTATCAGTGGCGAGAGATCAGTTGTTTTTTTCCTTGAATAGAAAGATTGTACTGCATTTGTTGCGCGACTTCGCTACTTTTTTCATACCTGCGCAGTCGTGGGATATCATATACTTTCCTTTCTTATAAGCAACGGGTATGAATTACACTATTGCAATAATGTGGATTGAATTTATTTTTCTTATTTCAGATTCGACTTTAGAAGACTTTGTTTCAGAATTTATTGCGGCATGGAAGAGGGTGCAGTTATGGGAGATCTTCGGGAGCATTGTTCTCATCTACTTCACATTCCGGCTCCTTCGACGAATCCTTTTGCGCCGGAAAGTTCGACGTCTTTTGGCTGAAAAGCAGGAGCTTCTCCAGGAAGCTAGAGCACGACTTCTAGACCGCGTTCAAGGTGATCCTCCTGCTTCCACTCTCAAGGATCTCTCTGCTCTCGAAATCCACGACCGGCTCCAATTTCAGGAGATGACTCCATTTGAAGCACTTCGTATTTATCAAAAAAGGGTTGTCGATGTTCTTGGCTCCAACTGTGTCTGTGATGTGATTGAGGAAGCCGAAGCAACCGCTAAGTCTATTGACTCGAACTTTCACTCGCCCATTCGTGGACTACCAGTTAGCGTGAAGGAGAATATCGCCATTGCCGGTTACGATTCCAGTATGGGGTTGGTAAGCCGCCTTCTCAAACCTGTCAGGCGTGATGGCGTATTAATTCAGGTTATTCGTGGTGTTGGAGCCGTTCCTTTCGTTACAACAACCATGAGTCCTACTGGTTATTGTCTTGATGGTTCAACGGAAATTTTTGGGAAGCAACGGAACCCTTATGATGCCAAACGCCTTACTGGTGGGAGTTCGAGTGGTGAGGCGGTTCTAATCGCCAAAGGCGCATCACCTCTTGGTTTCGGGACAGATCTTGCAGGCAGCGTTCGCTTGCCCGCCGCGTTTTGTGGTATATGTGCCCTTAAGCCGACCACCCATCGTGTAAGCACAATGGGTGTAGAATCTGTCTCCGAGACTGGATGTATTGGCCTGCGTCCCGTCTTTGGTCCTATGGCTAGGCATACGCGTCTCCTCACCGATGCTATGCGAGCTATTCTCACATCCGTTATGTTTAATCTAGATCCGCGCACTCCTCATCTTCCATTCCATGAAGGTGTTTTCTCGTCCAGCAAACCTCTCTTGATTGGATTCTACACTAATTTTGGGGGGGACATTGCTATGAAGGTTGTTCCTTCTGTCGAATCTGCTCTTTTTCGTGCAAAAGCTGGTTTACAGGCTAAAGGTCACACATTGGTGGATTTCGAGGTGCCAGAACCCAACAAAGTAGTCTGTCTTACTGTGAAAAGCATGCTAGGTGATGGGGGAGTTGCCTTCTGTGAGGCCGCGCGCTGCGAGCCTGCTAATCCGCGTCTTCGACGTACTCGCTTTCTCCTCGGAGTACCTGCTCTGCTGAGACGAATGGTTGGGTGGTTTGTTTCCACCTTCTTCAGTAAGTCGATCGGTGCGGTGTTTCATGCGTCGACGGGCTGTCAAACGGCTTTGGAGGTGTTTACCGTTTCGAAAGAAGTCGAGACGTATCGAGAGGAATTTGCAAAGGCTTGGGCGGCTGCGAAAATTGATGTTCTTCTCGGTCCCGCTTTTCCCTTTCCCGCTCCACTTGAGGGCACTCCGGATGTACTGCTAGCCGGTGCTGTGACTTTTACATCGATCTACAACCTATTGGACTACCCTGCCGGTGTGGTTCCGGTATCGAAGGTCAATGAAAGTGACGTGGAAGCCTGCAGAAAGCTAGAAGGTGAGTATCGAAAAGCTGGAGACTGGTTGAATGCTACTCATGCGAAGCTACAGAGTGATACGAAGGGACTTCCAGTTGCGGTGCAGGTGGTTGGGAAGCCATTTGATGAAGAGACGGTATTAAGAGTGATGAAGGAGATTGAGGAGAGTCTTCCTCTGGAGTAGTGCCATCTTTTCCTAATTGTGTCTCATCTTACATGTTTTTTAACACTTCCATTACGTCGGGTTTGATATGTTCACTTTTATTCAAATAAACATGGGAATAGTATTTACGATGTGCCGGCGTTTTTTGTTTTTTTTTTTTGTTGTGGTTGCAGTTGGTGTTTTTTTAAGGTACTAATGCATCATTAATGGGAATTGGCGACCAACATGAGTGCTTCGAAATGGCGATGGAGGTTAATAGGCCTCGATTACTGCGCTGTGTTTGTTGACTTCTCAAATCGCGTTTGTATGCAAAATGATTAGTGCAAATTTAGGTGCTGGTGTCAAATGGTGCTTTGCACCTGGACTTGGTTTTGGTCTCAGCTAATACTGTAGGAGTATCCTCCTTTATGATCTTTACAAATTGAATTATTTTGAGTAAGAAATTTTCTGGATTGCGTCTAGAACAGGAGACTGATTGTTGGTCGTAGTGAATGCCCTAGTTGGTGAGGCCGTTTGCCAGTTCATGAATGATAGACCGTTGATACACAACATGTATTAGTAGCTCAACATGATATGGTCTGCGTTGCACCAAAATAAAGCAAAATAGTTGGGTTTTGAAGAAGTGTTGCCAATTTCCCAGCGGGGATGTCGGTTTATGGGAGGGGCCGGAGCGCCCTGCGTTATTTTGTTCTCTTTTCCTAATTAAGGCCTCAGATGTTTAGTCTTCCTTTGCCTTTACTACTAGTTGGCACTACAATGACAATGTTTCTTCACTTTTTGAGGCATGGATCGGAGCTTCTGTCATCACCAATAATCACCTCTAAAATAGGCATCCTCACCCAGCTGTAGGTTTCCTCTTCGCCTATGTAAGTTCTCTCATTAGAATAAAGATAAATTAAACGGCGATCTCCTGCTTGAAATATTCCTCACCCTGATCTCGTGTGCTGCCTTCATCGTCCACTTGAGCTGGTGGGATTACGTTGTCGCTTTGAGCCGTAAATGCCAGAAATTATAGTCCAAGAGTCCTGGAGGAAAACTCCACCATTACAGTCTAGTTGGTGTACTGTTCTTACACGACCTACCGGTTGTTGGGTGTTTTTTGTCCAGTTTTTTCCCAATCTAATAAGTTCACTTTTAATGAAATGTGTGACATGTGGGACCAGGTGAAAATATCAAGGTGTTGCAAATACGTGATAATAATAGTGGCCGTCTTAAAATTTCCAAGAACAGAATAGAGCGAATAAGTAGTTGCATCATAAAGCGTACGTGGTAAGACTGGGGAATATGATACTGGATGCTTTTACTCAATTGCGGCGTCATTTGAACAAGCCTCGAGTGTGGGATGCCACCTCTCGGCTTAGGTAAGTGGCAGTTAATAAACAATCGGACAGGCAGTTTAGTGATGTCAACAATGGAATGTAGGCTAGACAGTGATGAAGAGGAAAGAAGTCAAGCCTGTTGACAAGACGCCTAAAATTTATCTGAAGTCCTCATAAAAGCGAGCGAGATGGAGGGAAGACTACGAGTCTCCTCAATTGCTGCCTTGAATGAAACAAGCCTTGACGGGGTACGTCCAAACGGGAATGCGGTGCCCCGACATGCCTCGAAAACGCACTTCTTACCTTCTGTATGTACCTTGTTTTTCCTAATTTATGCAAAATGCACATTTTATTTGGGATTTAGACTTCCTCGTTTCATATTTAACATGCATCTCACTCCTCATATGCGATGGTTGATAGTTTTCCTCCCTCCTTTTCCCTTTCTTCCAGATAAACTCCCTGAAAGTGTTGGTACTTTAATTTCAGCTCCGTACCCACCCGTACTTCGGCGAACATCACAGCCCAAATATATTTTACCATGGTTACATCTTTTACTATAAAGTTTCACTCCCTCGGTCCCCACTTTTTTACACCTCGGCATCTAATTTCGATGGAGTAGCTAGGCTAGGTTTAATCCTGATCAAAAACACGGTTTGTTTTTTTGCTGGTTAGAGCAAAAAAAGCATTGTTTGTATGTACTTTCTGTTTGTGTTGTCACATTGTTTCTCTGAGTGGAATTGGCACTTCAATGGATATTCTCCGGCATCGCTTTAAAGCGGTGCTGTTTTAGCGCTTTATTCTTGAAATAATGATAGTATGCAATTTCTAGTTACAATCTTATGAAACGGTGAATTTTTTTTGTTTCATAGTACCTGCGTTCGTGATAGGTAGGATTTGAGACGAAGATTAGTTTCGACGGCCTAAAAGCAAAGCCGAGGGGAGGAAACATGTTACCCAAGTAGGCGAGTCCCTTTAAGGCAATCGCTTCCCAATGTGAATATAAGTATAACGTACTAAGACAAGAGGGATGACAGAGTGTAAACACTGTTGACCCCGGATACGGCGATTTGCAAAAGCGGTTTAGTTTCGGGTCAAAGTGTACGCACGCACGCGCACGGACCAATCGTGTGAATGGCTGCAGCGTGCACGCACACGTGCAGTGACGGTGTCTGCACCCACCGCAGCCAATCAGGATGCGAGAAACTAGTGAATGATTGTTTACAGCTGCAATTTGTAGCCTGCAGAATCTGACTCGTGCCCGGTCAACAACTAGGCTGTTCGTGGCCTTGATAATAACAATGACTCAGGTCACGTCGGTATTTTTGACCACACAGTTCCATATACAGGACAGTGGTTTGTCAATTCTGTTGTGCTTGACAAGGCATCCTTTTTCCATAGTCCAGATGCAGCATTCAATCGCAGGCTGGAGATGTGATCTTGAAAAGCACTACTCGCATTATTTTAAGGAAAGTGAAAGGTGATGGAGTATTTTTGCTTGTGTAGTGGTACTTCATACCTGAGAAACCCCCTAGTTGTGTGGTTCGGGGTCTTGCTTTCATCATCAATAATGGCATACCTTAGCCAGTCCTAATTCTCACTGTGCAGCATCAAAATTAGTGCCACCACAGGAGCGAATACTTGTTAAGATTGACAGAATAGTGTAGTTTGTTTGGCTGTCGGGTGTATTGAAGCAGAGCGAAGCAGAGAAAATATTTTATTCTCAACGTGTTTGCACTTTGATTGTTATTACACAATACATTGGTGTAGAAAACATACTTATCGAATATTTGTTGCCCTTATTGACATCTTTTGTTTTTTGTGCCACTTTTTTGAAAGGGGAGTTTTTTGGGTAGGTGACCCCCCAAACCAATTTGGGGTTCCAATTAAATGTAAGAAACACCGAAAGTAAACTAATCACTTGAATTTAATTTCATTACCTTTAGGCATTTTTTATACACGACCAAGGGGAACTAACTTAAGTTAGTATTCTTAAAGTAAAAATAGGTGGTATATCATTTATGTAGCAGAATAATTGCCACTATTACTAAAGTAAAAAGAATAAGGATTGCATTTGATGTTGCCTTACTTCGTGAGAAATGAAGGTAGCTAGCAGAGAGTTTCGAATGAGCGACCATAAAGTAGTGGCAAATGAAACCCCTTTAAAATCCCTTCCCCGCATACTTTACATAAAATCCCCTTACATTTCTATTCATAAATCAAATCGTCGTGAGTGAGCTGGGGAGAAATGAAACAAGAGAGGCGAAGGAGAAAAGCAGGTAGGAATAAAGAAAAACACAACAGAGCTAATATTTTTAAAGATTCTTCATAGTAATGCATCACCTTTGAGAAATTCCACCCAGGCAGTTCTACTTATGCCTCCGAGTGGGTGATTGATGGTGCTTGTTTTTTTTTTCTACACAACATTGCTGTCTTCCCCTTTCTCCTTCCCTACCTAACACAGGATTTGAAGGTATGTATAAATTCGTAAGATGTTAGAAATGAAGACACCCATGTTCATCCTTATATCGTAATTTTCCAGATGTACAGTTCCTCCTACTACTTTTAACACCTATTGGCAGACGTGCTCACAGGAATTGATGGACGCAGCATAGTCATTAAAGAGCATGTCATTGGGAAGAGTGAGTTACACGGCAGGCACCACTTCAGGTTTCCGCCTTTGACCAGGGCATGGAAGAGTTTAAATGTTGCACTGAGTTGAAGGCGCATTTGGACAGCAAAGGTCAAGATTGCCCGTGTCACAGCACTAGATACAGGGAAGTGCGTAATTGAGAGGCAGTGATGCGAAATTTGTCCTCCGAAATCTGACAAAATGTACATTAAATGCTAGTTAAGGGGTGAGGTAAGTGCACAAATGCATTAAGAAAACATGTTGAAGTCCTCTTTTCGTGGAATTCAACTTAACAGCTTTCATCATTTAGCATGGATTAAGCTGTATTTGATTAACAACTGGTGGTTTAAGCGTATATCTTCTAAGCACCGCAGGTGATGCACATACGCCACGTAATTTTTGTGTAATCATATTGCAGGCACAATGTTTCTCCTGACTGTCACCTTTTCTATTGCCTTAACGCGTTTCTGATCATCAGAACAGGAATGAGGAAAATAAAAGCAGTTCCCCACTTGGATTCGTTTGCTAGCCGATTTCATTACCTGCCCTTGTCGTGCGTTTAAGCTAGTGGGACTGAGTTGCTGCTCTGGTCCATAAGATCCTATAAGAAGTAGTACAATCTGAATGCGTTTAACATATGTTATTGCCAAAGACAAACCGAAAAAATACTATTGAACTACTCTTACTCATTTAGTAGACGCACGACTCCATCAATACTAAAAAAGCATTTTTTGCCTCGAAAGCTGTTGTTGAAAAGGCATTTGAATTTCGTCAATTTATAGTTGCCCATGTAAATAACCTCATCAACATATCTGGGAAATAAATTATGCCCAAGATGTAAACCATGCTCTCAGAGTCCATTAGACAAGAAGTTTCCTTACAGGTTCATCCAAAAGGGGAGTATCGCACTTGAATATACACTATTTGTTTAAAATTTTCCTTACTAGGAGCCGATGTAAATTGAGGTGGCAATTTCTCATAAGCGCACACAAAGATGCTGCATTTTTGGATTCGCTATTGAACTACTTTTCAAATGTCAACGTCAAATGCGTTAAAAATAACGAAAATTTCGAAGCTTTCAGTTTTATCGCATTCCCTGTTGCATAAATTCCTTGGGAATTAGTTCAGTGAAAGTTTTGCATAATTGTATTTGTCGTCTTATGCGCAATTTGTTTAAAATTTGCCCATACGATAGCCTAAATGAGTGAGGTCATTGTGAATGTGCACTTTGACCTCTAACTTTTAAAGGAAATACGCCATTTTTTAGCCTTCCTCATGCTTACAGTCTGCACTTTGGCACTATATACTACCCTTACTTGTCTGGGTCTTTGGAACTTCTTTATTTAGGTGTTTCCTACCGATAGAGCCAAGAACTGCTGCAAATTATCAATCTCTGGTTAGATTTGGAATCCTCCTGAATACTACAAGATTTGATTTAGTGCTTGTTAAGTTGCAAGGCTTTGGCAGAAAGTTTTTGTGCTCCATTTTTGAAGGTAAATTTAACTCTAGACGATTTTGCACCGCTAAGGCGTATTTTAGCTCTGCTTTACTGGAAGTTGCAGCGTGATGTTCCGGTTGTTGGTAGAAGGCAACCTGGAATTTATTGCCGCACGTCTCCACCTTCATGTTGACATTTGTTAGCCTACGAAGGATCAATTCTGTATCCATTTGTACGACTCTATTAATTATTATTAATAAGCAAATCAAACTGAAAAGTTCTTTTTGTTGACCACAGTTTTCTCTACGTTACGTTACGGTGACAAGCGAGCGGAATGGACTAACCTCGCATCTACGAGGGCGTCATCTATCCTCGAGGAGGAAGCAAAAAGCGGTTGATTTTTTTATAGATACCCCACATCACAGAGTGCAAGATGTCTTCCATCGAACCTTCTTCACGATCCACGGATATGAAGCAGGAAATATTATTTTTAGTGACTATTTTATTCGTTAGCTCCACGTTCTTTGGATTTATTGGTGCTGTTTTTGGGATGCGTAAGCAGACTTCATGTTCAACTCAAGGCGAACCAAAGTCCGTTTACATTTTCTGTACCACTAAATCTGCAGTTTTTGAAACTTTTTCCAATGATTCCTTTATCATAGCTGACTTTTGAGGAGCCATCTCACTCTGAATATTTTGTTATCCAAACCATATAAATACAGTGGATTCCCCTGAAGTCGTCGTTTTATATACATCTTTTGATAAAAAGTAGTTGTTTTAAAATTCGAAATGTATTATCCCTTCTCTGTCTACATTTTAGTAGCAACTTCCACCTTTTACCACGACACCTTTAGTGTTTTTCCATACTTGATCAGCCACACTTCTTGCTAAAGCGATGTGGGTCGCCTCTACTTTTGTTAAAGAAATTAAATAGCGAAATGTGAATTGCTTAAAACACTTTGTTATTTGTATCCTACACTTACTCCTGGATTGGATGGTTACTTATTTGTTTGCTGTTTAGTAGCTACTTTAGTATTGTGACAACCTCAGCACGAATCGGTAGGAAGACCCTGTTTAACATTTTGGGGTTAGTACCTACTGTGGTGCCCTTTTTTGGAGAGTTTTCAGTAAAGGATTGAGTTAGAATAATCGCTTCATTTCCTCTTATTTAAGCTACGAATTGGGTCCGGCTATGGCATTTGATTTATTGTGACTTTATGGCCTTTTTCACTAGCAATTCAGCTGTTTTGCCAGTCTTATTTACTCATGCACTGCTTCGGCATTGCAGTTTATGCACTGGTTTGGAGGATTAGGCCTGTTTTATTTTCTTACGCGAAAGCGATCATCCGACTGTTTGGAGAGACTGGTAAGTTAAATGATTTGTGAGGTTTAAGCCCCCACTCCATGGGAATCGCGTTGCTTGATGCTTAGTGGCATTGACAATTACAACACAGCGGTGTGCCCCATTTGTAATCTCCAATGAGAGTCCTCTCTTTTTTACTGCCTCTCATTTTTAAGATGAGTGATTTCACCATACTGATGCAGTCGATGTTTAATTGCAGCATTTCAAATGCTCGCTCCATTAGAGCTTATATCTTTATGTCACCGTTGATATGGATTTTGATGAACTTTTTGGAAGGCTCATTCGCCACAAAATACCACTGTGTGGTGGTCACTAGATTTACATAGATGAACACATAAATCATGTCACTTATTTTATACTATGGACCTGGATTGTTTTGGTGCGAAAGCATTTAATAAACTGCTTTTGAAAACGAACTTGGAGTTCTACATTGGCATTCCAATTCGTACTTCGTCTCATTCCCCGATCGTTTTCTTTTCATCAACAATTTGACACGTCTTTTTGCCTTCATTTTAATGCTATTTTTTACAACTTGTATTCTCGTGCATATGTGCTACTTTCAGGGTTTTGCCCTTCTGCTTCCAGGTTCGTGTCTCTGAATGGAGAAGTACGGATGGAGGAGGATATCTCGTGTAGTGTAATACGAGGATTGTACGAATAGTTAACGTATAGTGGGGGGGGGCAGATTCTGTTTCCACCGTGGAGACCCAACCATTACGTCTTGGCAGTCACGAGGTTAATCAAATTACCCGCTTGTCACCTAAAAGGTTTTCTAAAAAAAAACACGCATCACAGACAGTGCACAGGATTTTTTTAACTTGATTTTGACATTGGGCTACCTATAACTTTGTCTCTTTGTAGTATCAGTTCTCCACACGTTGTTTCGTTGTTTTATGCTTTTGTGTGGTGTAATATGGGGTTCATATTCTGTTTTAGTATTTGCGGATTTGGTGTTTAGTAGATATCCGTATCGTTCGGCCCCATTGCCAAGTTCTGATTATTCCCCTCTAGATCATATATTATTCGTCGAATGTTATGTGAAGGAAATTGCTGTGATGGCGTCCTTGCACCCACTCTACGACGAGCTTGAAAGTTGTAGTCTTCGAAGTAAACTTTTTAGGGTCAAAATAATTTATGACGCTACCAACCAAATACTTACATGATATTGCTGCCTAACACGAGAAATTAATTTGATTGACGTCAAGTAGAGGTGACTTCAACACTACGCCTTGTTTCTTACACAAACAGATCAAGTACTACTTATGTTACCTGCAACTTTGGTGAACGGCACATACCCTTCAGCTTTATGTCACTTATGGGCCGGTTTCTCGTATTCTTCTTCCTCTGCATAGTGACACACGGTTGGCATGAAGTTGATAAGACTGAAATGAACGACTTTGATTGAATTAAACGGATCACTTAAATAGGCTACTGTTACTTGTAGGGTCAGGTGCCTTAGTGCACTAATTTACTCTCTGCATCTTGAACGAATGACGAGGGCAGTAC